AGGAGATGAAGATGACACATAGGCCAGGAGTTATCCATCCTAACATTAGGTTACTAGAATGTTCTCCTCAACAGGACTGATGAAAAGAATAAAGGTCATTTAATCAGAGTCATTCTTCCAATAACACTGATGCACTACTCCAGGCCAGTTTGATATATAGAATGTTGAATTTTCAGAACAGATAAAATAGGGAACTGATTTGTCTCACAGAAAGTGAAGCCTTGATCTTAAAAGGGCCTTTGCCCATTTACCCAAGCTACAGATGTCCTCTCTTCTTCCTTCTTTCTCCCTTCCTGCCCCTCTTGACCCCAAAGAGGAGAGCAGAGAAACCGCTACCAGCATCTATCTACCACACTTCCTTTTCTGCCTCTGCCTTCCCCCTGTCCTCTTCTGCTATTTTCCTCCATTGTCTCACCCAGCCTCCTTAGCTGCCTACCAAACCTTCTTCCATCTGTGCCCTTAACTGGAGCTAACTGAGAAGACCAGGCATGGACCAGACCAATGGCAAGCTCTACTATGTGGGCCCGTGTATATCAGAATGCTGCCAGGGCTGCTGTTACTGCAAGACGCACACCCCAACCCCACACCCAAGAAAGAGGCTAACACAAGAAAGGAAAGAAGAGTGAATGGTCTTGGGACTAAGGGCTGTAGCTCAAGGGTCAGGAAGACTGAGTGGCCATTGGTAAATCTTGATGCCTTCCTGAGGCTCAGACTTTACATCCTAAAACAGAAATGATAATGCTATCTGCCCCCCTCCCTCTCCTCCCACCATTGAGCATCACAGGAGTAGGTCATAGTTCTGCATAGAATCAGACTGCATGGTACCAATATCACACATTGCCTGCTTCCTCTGTCAGTTGCCTAAACTGGCTCTGGCAGGGGAAGTACAATCACAGGGAAGGTATCAGAGCTGATAGACCTGAACTGTGGCTGACATCCCAGTGAGGACTTGTACTATCTCCAAAGCTCTGAAAGCTGCACTCCCACCTCACTTCTTTTTGGGAAATTCTAATAAAAAGAATCAGAAACCCATCTTCTGGAAACTCTGAGAGTGTTTCCACAGGTGTTAGCCAATTTCTGGTCATATTGCAGTGCTCAGATCCCAAGTCAGAAGGAGCCCAATATTTCTTTGAATCCTTTCTGTCCTCTATAAGCAAGGAGTTGAGGTATGAGACTAAGTGACTTGCCCAAGGTCATGGTAAAGTTGATGTCCAGGACAGGGCCTTCTACTTAATCACAGAAGATCTCTCAAGCAATGGCAGAGCCCTATGACTAGCAGCACACATATGGAACAGACTTGGACCTGAATCCTAGCTCTTCCATGGATGAATGGCATAACTTTGACCAGTTACTTAATTTCTCTAAGAATCAATTGCTTGGTCTGGTAGCATGGCTCAAGTGGTAGAGCTCCTGCATAGCAAACATGAAGCCCTGAGTTCAAACCACAGTACCACCACCAACAAAAAAAGAATCAATTTCTTCACATGTAAAATGAATGCCATCACTGGTCAGGAAACCCAGAAGGTATTTAATAAGCATGTTGTTGTAGTTGTCATCCACAGATGTGAGAAAGAGACCCACAAGCCAGGGATGGCTGGGTTTTATCCCTAAATGCCAATGTAATCTGTCTTCTTGTTCTCAAGTCTCGTCTTCTCACAGAGCTGACTTAAATTTAGGCATGCTGCCTTGGCTTTTCCCAGTAATTCTGGAGTATATATATATATATATATTTTTTTTTTTTTTTAACCAAAGAAATGTATTTACATATAAGTAAATAGGGTTTTTTTGGTAATGTTTTGGGAAAAAAAATCCCACAAATGGATTTTTGTCTACTTTCAAAAAATGAAAAATCCCAAAGTATTTACAGAATGGCCACACACACACACACACACACACAGAGAGAGAGAGAGAGAGAGAGAGAGAGAGAGAAATCAAATTTTAAAGCAAAATTTAAAGCTCAGTTCTTAAAGTTGAACAGATTTTCCAACCTAGCTTCTGAGATACTAAGCACTTACTATCCCTTCAAAAACTAATTGAAGGATAGAAATAAATTGGGGGTGAGGCAGGGATAGAAATGAAGAAAATGAGATTTTCTAGGGATTGTGAGTAGCATTTCCTATACTGACATCTGTAGCAGATCTTTTAAAATTTACTTTTGTAAATTCTGAGATGTAAGTAAAGCAATAAAATAAACATTTATACCCACTACTCAATAAGAAATAGAATACTGTCATTGCTTGAAAGCCCTATGTCCCCTTCATTTCAATCCCATAGTCACTACTCAGCTGGATTTGACATGTATTATTCCCTTTGTTGGTTTTGCCATCTATGTATGTATCCTAAATAATATATTATTTGGTTTTACATATCTTTAATCTTAATATAAATGGACGCATGCTGTATTAGTTTCTTTAACTTGTCTTTATTGCTCTATTTTCCAATTTATCCATACCAACGCAATCAGAGTTCACTCATTTTCACTGTTAAACAGTACTCCATCTTGTGAATATGCCACAAATAATTTATTTACTCTCCTAGTGCTGGAGAGTCGAGTTATTTCCAGGACTGGTTTTGTTTTACTATTAGAAACAGCACTTCAAGTCCGAGAGTATAGCTCAGTGGTACAGTGCTAGCCCAGCAGTGCAAGGTCCTGGATTCTATCCCCAGCACTGAAAAAAAAAAACGGAGGGAAAATAGCAGTGCAGTGACAATTATTGCACATGACCTCCATATACATAGGTAGGAGTGCTCTATACATCTCTGACCTACTCAGGGCCGTGGGTATATATATCATCAAATTTATTAGCTAATACCAAACTGCTTCCAAAGTGATTGCACCTTATACTTTTATCAGCAGTGTATAGGAGTTCCAAATGTTCCTTAAAGTTAGAATTACCCATTTTTCACCTGTTAATCTAGTGGTTAATTAATTTCCATGTCCACTGTGCCATTTAGATTGGGTCTGAACACTTATCATGGCATTTTGTTCTGCTGATGGAGTAAACCATGCTGTGGGGTTTCATTTTATTACAGGTCACCAGCTAAGACACAGTGTCATCAATTTCCACTCTTGCCTTGTCCTTTTCAGGAACCAGTTACAGCTGCAGAGTGGTTGTGGCTTACCTGGAATATTAGGCTGTCACATTACACACCACATGGGGCAAAATGTCCAGTCTGGAAAAGCAAATTCTCATTTTCATCGTGTCAGACTAAATACAGTAAAAAGAAGAAAGACAAGTGGCTGTAAAAAGAAAAAGCAGAAGTGTAACCCTTGCCCCTCTGGGGAAATAAAAAGTTGCCAGCCCAGGTGCTGAGCAGAGCTGTTGGTAGAGGGAAAAATCAAGTGGCCAATGGGGTGCACTTTACAAAAATTCAGAAGGAACAAGCTGACTGTTATCATCCCACTCAATGAAACCCAATTTTCCTGATCTGTGATGACATCAAAGTTGCTTTTAACATGTTGGTCTACTTGTTTCTTCCAAGAGTTGTGGAGAGGAAGGGTAAGAGTCTAGAGTTCCTTCAGGATATACTGCCTTGGCCAAGCTGCCCAAGTAGAAGGGCCCCACCCTTCAATAACTGAAGATTCTGCTCTGGAACATGTGGTAGAACCAGAAATTCAGATGTAGTACATGAATGTGAATAATCAAGATGACCTGGAGAAGTGTAGAACCTCTGTCTGAGCAAAGAGGCCAGGAGAGAAGAAATCCATCTATGGTTTCCACCTCTAGCACTGCCTCAGCTGCCTCTTCCAACAGTTCTTCCTCCTCTTCCTCCTGTTCCTCCTCCTCCTCCTCCTCCTCCTCCTTTTCCTCTTTCTGTTCCCTCCTCCTCCACAACCTCCTCCCTCCCATCATTCTTCTTCCTCACTCTCTTTAGCCAGACCTTGACTCTGTATAGGAGAGGTCACTGGGAACACTCTTCTTTGTCCCCCTGTGTATTATTCAGACCCAAGAGAAACCTTGATAAACACAGAAATGTGCACGTCACTTCACAAAGGTGGTCAGGGCATCCTTTCTGCAGAGTTGCAGGGAAGTGTGTCTAGTTATAAAAGGAATGGTGCCTTTTGTTTTCTTCTCCTTGACCCTAAACTGCCTCCTGCTCTCTAAATGACAAAGAGATCAGCAGTTTGGGACCAGGTAGAGGAAGTGTGAAGTCTTCCAGGAAGGCAGTAGAACTCTCTGGATGGGTTCAACGGCTGCAGGTGTGGTTCCCACCACCTGGCTGTGCTTGCTTGATATCCCTATGTCTGGGATGTCAGTAGGTCTGATGAGAGAATGAAGTGAGCAGTGCAGGGGAGGGAGAACATTGGCCTGGCCTAATGTTGGGAGATTGTTAGGTTTAGGTTTGTTCTCAGCTGACTTTTGGGCACATCCTGGTTTTATTTGAAAGCATAAGGCTCTTAACGAGGTACACTGACTCTCCACAGCTTAGGATGCAGATCATCTCCCCTTTCCTAGGTCATCTCCACCCCTAAATGACCTTGTACAGAGAATTGTCCATTCCATTTTAAATAGAGTGCCAAGAAAAAAGAAACGTACTCTGAGTAAACTATCACCGCTATGTCCCTGCCACGCTGGCATACGCAGGGAGGAGCAGTACTTCAACACTCTCTATCATGATTCTACAGGTGGAAAAAGCTGATCCACGACTTTATGCAAATGAGCAGAAAATCCCCAAGACACATTCAGATGGAATTGATTATTCGACGTTTCCTTAAAGCATGGAAGTTGCTGCTGACAGCTCACCACCTGCTGAAAACAGGGATTATATGTGTTTGGGACAAACAGGAAGTAGTGACCAGCCAGAAGTTTGTCCCAACTTGATTATAAAAGAAAGCAGCTGGAAAGACATTTGCATGCCCCATAGGTTTCACTACTAGAGTTTACACAATGAGGCGCAATCAGCAGAGCTGGCTGGCTACCCAGATCACATGGTTACGTAGAAGCATGAAACTTGATGATGTGCTCCAGCAAGTTTTACTTCCTAGTGCAGGGGTGTTGGCCAGCAGCCTGTGCTCTCAGAAGCCAGCTCCAGTGACGAGAGCCCTTGAGAGGAATTACTTACCATGCTGCTCCACAGAAGGGCCAGGAGCTGCTGACCTTACCCTTAGCCTGTTACTCGTGTCTCTTACCAGAAACCATGGACAAGCTCAACAAGATAACTGTCCCTGCCAGTCAGAAGTTGAGGTAAGATTTTCCTCCTGACACAGCCTTCCTCTTCTCCTTTCTTCCCCACAAGGCTCTTCTGCATCTCAGAAGGGCTGAAATCCTGGAATACTCTGCTACTTTGAAGGCAGCTAGCAGTAATTGCTATGGGGAAGTAGGCTGGGTTTTTTAAGAAATGTGGAAACAAATGGGCCTGCTCTAGCCAGCTTTAAATAAAATAGAAAAGCCAAGTGCTCAGATCCCACCAGAGGTCAGTTTTCAGAGTCTGAATACAACATAGTTTGCTAAGAAAGGGTTTGTCTAAACTGAGTCTGCACCAATTTCACTGTGGCTTACTATGAAATTTTAAGGATAGTTGTAATCATTTGCATTCATCGTAGTTTAACTGTCTCTTACTTATTTTATGGGTATTTATCACGAGTATATTGGAGGGATTATATCTGTCTTTCCAATGTCCTCATGACAGTGTATCAGTTATCAAGTTTTTTTTTTTTTTTTAAAGCCACTTAGAATAAACCAGCAGTGGACTAAGGGCATAAGTCAAACTTTTTTTGTCTCATTGTAATGGAGTCATGGCTTTTGGAGATTGAAACTTTAAATGTTTAGGGAGTATGTCACATTCCAACCACATATTGGAACTTGAGTTTTTCATGAAGTGACATGACACGTGGAGCCAAACGAGTCACCCAAAATAATTAGAGTTGGAGAATTTGAGTTTTGGGGTCAATATTTAAGAGAAATGAGCCTGGAATTGGAGAAGGGACAGCCCTTCACAGTTAGCATATGGATCTTCTACCTGATTGGGCTTGGTAAGAGCAGTTTGAGATGCACTACCGAGCCAGGAACAGTAGGCAGCATTGCCTAAGCAGCCATTTTGAGAGCATGCTGTTGAGAGCTGCAGAGCCATCAGCACTGATGGGGGACAAGAAGGTATCACAGCCGCCCTTGGTGATGGTTGCTGTACCCTCTCAGAAGGAGAGGTAAAACAATGGAAGTGGTAAGGAACTTCAGGATTATAGATGAGAATAAGAGTAGCAAAAGATGCTTCAAGAACTGGGCTTTGAGAGACAAGACAGATCAAAGTAGTTGGGTTATTGGAGGAAGAACGTTCCATGCTGAGAGGGGTAAATAGAAGATGATGTGAGTGGGGCTCATCTGTGAAATGCTGAAGAGAGTTTTCTACCCAAAAGAGCTGTGAACGGGACACGTAGAATGAGAAGGTCCTGATAATGTTGGACATGTAGAGTGGGCACAGTTGGAAAAAGACAGTGAGAGCTCTAACCCTGGGGGACTGAATAGCAGTTGTGTTGTCAGAGATGTTAAAGCCTATAGGTTTCGGGGAAGTGGGCAGGATGGATTGGACAGAGTATTCTGGAGGCAAAGATCCTGGAGGGAGGGGCACCTAAGTAACCCAAGCACCTAGAGTTGTAGGGCTGGACGTGGGGCACAGTAGTGAGAAGGGAAAGAGATACAGAGATAAGATATGGCAAAGAGACTAACCAGGTCCAGATACCAGAGCTTCTCCCAAAGGAACAAGAGGAGTTCCAAGGTCCTTTTCAGACATATTCCATAATCTAAAGCTGTACTAAGCTTAGACCCTCATTCTGAAAGTCCAGATGGGAATCTAAATAAAGAGAGGCAATAGAACTTAAATCATTTTATGATCCCTCCCTCTGAGACAAAGTACACCTTGGTCACGGAGTGGTTGGCAGGCAGTATGAAGCCATAGATTGTAGGATAGAAAACCAAAATTACATTGTGGATAATCATATACTACACTCATTTGCTCAGAGAAACGTAACTTTTTCCTACTTGGTAACTAAATTGTCTTTACAGAATTAGCCTGTTTTTGTAAAATGTGCACTGTTGACGTGGAACTTTTCAAAGAAATGAAATGTAAACACAGTGGACTCAAAACACTTAAATATTTTCTGTAAATATGACATGGTGAGGAACAGTTAGTTGAAATACCCTTTTCTGCATTTTATTAGTGCATATTAATTATACAAAGGAGGGGTTTCATTGTGATATTTCTATTCATGCATATACTTTGGTCAAATTGACCCCCTCTATTGCTCTTTCTTATACTTCCTTCTTCCATTCTCCCCTTTTTAAATCTTCATTGCAATTTTAAATGAGTTACATTATGACCTTTGCATACATCCCTACAATGTAATTCCATGATATTCTCCCCCATTCCTCCCCTCTCTTTCCATTCTCTGTGTCTTCTTCCCTGACTGGTTAAAACAATTCAGAATTGCTTAACTGTGCAATTATTTGACACCAGATGTAACATTATAAGTAGAGAGCTATGTTTATACTCTTACAAGCTTATCAAAGCTTATATGAGAATTTGCTCAACTTCTTAGTGCAAAGAAAATGCTCATGAAAGGGGCTTAAAGGGATGACTCCAATACAAGGGGTATATTCCCAGGACTGAAAAGAGACTGAAAGCAGCAGGAGTGACCAGGAAGAGAAGAAGAGCAGAATGAACCAAGGAAAAGAGGGAGAATAAGATTGGAAGGAAATTAGTGACTGTTAACGTGGAAGAGACAGGGAAGGTTCCTAGATGGACACTGTTGGCGATGGGCACACACTTGGACTGGTTCTATGTAGAAGAATTAAGACTGGCAAGGTGGCTAAGTTGTGTGTGACCAAACAGATGGATGAGTAAAATTCTCAGGTTTTTGCTCTCACTGAGGCACCAAGTGAGGCTGGCTTCTCTGTTAGTAGGAGTTCACAGACTTATAGGATCTCTTAAATTGATTCTTAGTGATGATTTTCTCTTGATTTTTATAAGACAGTGGGTAACATCAGAAACCCTGCTGAGACCTGGGTTCTCAATTCTTCCACAGAAAACATTCCTAGGATCGTAAAAACTTTACCCTTTTAAGTGAGGATTTCAAAATTTATAATCCTGAATCACACTGGAATTCATCCTTTTCAGATTACTGAAACTAATTTGAAAATTAAGTTTTAAGTTTTTAATAACCTCCCAGTTGATTCATCATCTGTGTTTGTATATTTCTTTTTGTACTACACACAAATACATATGCACTTATTTTTATAAGTATAAAAGGTCTTTGACACAAATGTGGTCAAATAAGTTCTCCTCAATTTTTACTTTTCTTGTTAAGGAGCCAGACAAACCAAGATTTTTGTGATTTTGGGCAAGTTTACTTAGTTTCTCTGGCTCCAGTTTCTTCATCTATCAGGTAAGAATAGTAATAACAGTATAATGTCATAGGAATATAATGGGGATCAATTAAATCATCTTGTGAAGCAACTAACACATAATGATCCTGGTACATAGTAGTTACTGGATTTTAAAAAGAATAGCTATGAAGATTATCATTGTTGTTCTTTTAATTCTATAGCTGTGCAATTGTTTTTTTGAACACAAACAAAGGCCTTCACATTGATCCTTGAAAAATTTCATGTTAGTTTCATTTCTTCTTTCTGTTTTGACTGTTTTGTCTATTGATTCTGACATCTGTGGTGTTTGGTTTTGCATGGATTATAGACATGACAAACATTCCTCTCAGCCCACATTTAAGTGGTTGATAAAATTGTTGACTATAACAGAGCCCTGTTGAAGGTCTCACCATTAGGGCACTGGACCCATGATCTTATTTGACAATGCTGAGATATACCTCTCTTTTCAGGTCTTGGAATTTTCAGATGGAGTTTCCAGTTCCTTGGCTTTCCAAGTGAAATTCTTCAGAAACAAATTCAACTTTTCTTCACCTTTCCACCCCTAGCTTCCTCTCTGGTCCTCCCTGTTTCAGTCAGTGGTTTCATGATCAGCCCTAACTCTGACTCACCCTTCTCTCTAAGCTTCCACTCATGCTCACTCACTTGTCACGCCCTCTCTTTCCTTTATGGCACTTCCATCTGTGCCTTTTTCTTTCCACACCATCTAGGATAGGTCCTCATCAGGAGACAATGTCCTGATGTTTGTCTATAAAATAAGGAATTTGGACCAAATTCCTCTGATGCTCTGTGAGCCTTTAAGTCTAGAGACCATGTTTTACATGCATATTACACTCTCTAAGGCTATTTTTGTCTCATGGACTTCAGGAAATAATATGTATATAATTTTTTTGTAGTACTGGGCCTTGAACCACTCCACCAGCCCTTTTTTGTAATGGGTATTTTTTGAGATAGGGTCTCACGAATGATTTGCCTGGGCTGGCTTCGAACCATGATTCTCCTGATCTCTGCCTGCTGAGTAGCTAGGATTACAAGCGTGAGCCACCAGTGCCCAGCTAGGAAATACTTCTTGATGTATTTGGAAGAATAATGCAAGTGGAGTTCAAAATGGTTCATTCCAATTACCAATTGCTAGCCATGACTCTGGAAGAACTAATTCAACCTCTCTGAGCTTTGGTTTCCTCACCTGGTAAGTGAAACTAGGTGTGCCTTTCTCATGGGTTTATTATGAAAACCAAATAAGACAACAGGGACTGATATGCCCAGAACAGTACATGTCACATGGTTGGTATAACAAATAAATAAAATAATAAAAAAGGAACCCTTGCCCAGAACAACAATTAAAAAAAAATAATAAAATTAACCCAACAACCAGGACCTCAGCCCTTCCATTATCAGAGGTCATTTGCTCTCTTCTTCTTACATCCAAAAGAAATTGGATCCAATTTCCAATTTCTTTTTAACTGGAACATCAAGCAGACCTGGGAGCTGCAAACAGGAGGCTCGGAGCTAATGGTGGAGATAAGACAATCTTTCCAGGCAGCCTGATTTCCTATTTACTTCACACTGTCTACTTATGTAATGTCAGCTGAGAATCCACGCAACTGGCCGATGGATGGAATATTCAGAGAAGCTGAACAGGGGCTTTTTCTCCTTGTTGGCAAGTGACACAAGAGCCATATTATCAGAAACTTGCTAAGTGAGAGTGGACTTCAGGCTCATTAGCAAGGAAAATTCAAGACAACTCTTTCACCCACTCTGCATAGCTACACCAAAAGACCCTAAACAAGTGACCACTCCTCTAAAGC